AATTATTAACTATAAATTTAAAGCGATTTTAAAAAGGTGAGTCTTGAGCCTGGTTTTGAAGGAATCTAAAGTTTCGGAATATCTTATTTCGATATATCTATGCAAAAATTCTTTCACCCATAACGTCCATTAGAAGGCATAGGATGGGTTTTAGGCGAATATGAATTAATTACTATTGTTACGCTCACTCACTCATCTCGACAACTTATGTGGCATCGCCTCCCATAAGAGTCAGTAGCCACAAAAATATCCGTGGAACTTGGCAACCTCAAGTGGCTATAGCGCATTACAACCATTGACGTTAAAAGCCGTCAGGCTGAACATGACACAATAGACATGAACAATAGACAGCGTGCATAAACAGCAGTTTCGTACGTCACACTTACTGTTTTCGCTTCAGTTATCACAATAGCATGAACTATTTTCAAATTATGACAATGACAGATACACCGATGTTTTCCTTTTGTTTGCTGTGAAGTTTATCTAATTCGCTACTTTTTCAAAAGCTATGACGCAGCAACAGAGCTGCGACATCATGAAAACAATGAGATTTTAATGTTAATTATTACTATTATTTGTATTTTTAAGGTTACTTGTGTTGCTTGCGTACTTTTCTTGTATTATTCCAACATGCAGCATGTGCTTACGATGTTACCATTCGACGGGAAAATGTTAATTAGTGATCAACCATGTGGCACCAAAAACTGGAATATATTATATATTCACAATGACGCTTGCTATTTTCACTCATTTTCTATATTGCAGGGAATTATCACGAGTATTGATATTCAAGACGATAACACCTTCAATACGTTAGTAAAAAACTAACAAGACAAAGAAATATAATATTTTAGCAAGGAAGTGCAAGGTAAGGTATTCCTTGAGAATAATTTGAAACAAATGGAGATTGTTCGTTTGTCCGAGGTCTCTCGGGAATTGGCACCGATGGAAAAAAAAATCTACATTGACAAGCTTGAGGGAGGTGTAAACACTTTAGTTTCCTAACATCAATTCATGAGCCAAATCTAAGTTTAATCTAGGAGTAGGGTGTTCCAGAATTTGTTCTGTTCCTTCGAGACGAAACAAATGATGAAATTTTTCAAAGGTTATCTGCTTGTAGGAAATTCAAACGTTGTCATAATATTTCTCGTGATTAATAACGGTTTAATTGTCCCTCGCCTAATATTTATGAAAACTTTTCGGAATCAGGTTTCTTACGCTGCTTTCATAATTTGCGTTTACAAGAAAATTGTGATTCGTTTTACAAGAGAACTCTGGCGAGTAAAAAAAAAAAGCCGCAATGAAATTATGAACCGTAAAGGAGCTTAATGCAAATATAAGTCATCTTGAAAATAAAACATATGGCAACCAATAGAGAATGACGCACCAGGTGTCAGCTGGCGGAGTAACTTAACCACGTTCCTGGTTCAGTGAACGCAGTCGGGAGCAGTTGAGGGGGGGGGAGCAGTTGAGGGGGGGTGAGGTGACATACTTTTCTTGGAGGGCTTATATGGCAGTCGTCGCTAACAGAGTATAGAGATTGAATATATAAAAGTAACCGCCAATGAGGGGAAATATTGCGAAAGCCATGAAGGGGGGGATCAGGCGAATTTATCATGACACGATCAACCGTCCTCCAGACCCCTCTTCCTCCCCCCCCCCCGTAAAAAATAATGATCATTCCCTTGGCACTAGCGTGTCAGCACATTCTGTGTAGCCGTTGTTGCTTGAATTGACACGAAAACCTGCTATGTAATCTTGGAATATATATCGCTGAGTATTTTTACGAGTTGTGCCGTATTTTGACGAGCCCGTAGAGCGAGTCAAAATACAAGTAACGAGTAAAAATACTCAGCGATACTACACAACAAAACGTCTAATAAGTTATTTATCATCCAACACGCCAAATTGTTATTTCAGTGCGGGCGAATTTCGCGGATATTTATTTACGAGGAATGCGTGACAGAAGTATGCGAAGCGGAACGGAATTGGCGCGTTGTCGTGTTGCTGTTTCTATTTTTTTCAATATGAAGAAATTTCCTGGTCTTCAAGTTGTTTTTCTTCGTTCGACTTATCCAATAGATTTGTATCTATACTTTTATCTATATTTGCCAGCCATTCCGACTCTTCGTTGTAAGAAATATGATTCAAATTGTCCGCCATTTTTTTTTCTGTATTTTTAATCCAATTCTTCGCTTGCGCGATGCGAAAAAACATTTTAACCGGTTATCTGGAGTACAAATACCTCGTGATATTTGTACTCACAAATACCTCGTGATATTTGTACTCGCCTATGGCGTCATCTGTACTCTACGGAGTGTAGTTGGATAATAAATGTATCTTATTAGACGTTTTGTTGCGTAGTATCGCTGAGTATTTTTACGAGTTGTGCAGTGTTTTGACGAGCCCATAGGGCGAGTCAAAATACAAATAACGAGTAAAAATACTCAGCGATACTACATAACAAAACGTCTAATAAGTTATTTATTATCCAACACGCCAAACTGTTATTTCAGTGCGGGCGAATTTTGCGGATATTTATTTACGGGGAGTGCGTGACAGAAGTATGCGAAGCGGAACGGAATTTGGCGCGTTGTTGTGTTGTTGTTTCTATTTTCTTCCTTGAGGAGGCTCGAAAGGTTTTTTTTGACNAAATATAGATCCAAGTTCATTAGATGAATCGAACGAAGAAAAACAGCTTGACGACCAGAAAATTTCTTCATTTAATGAAGAAAATAGAAACAGCAACACAACAACGCGCCAATTCCATTCCGCTTCGCATACTTCCGTCACGGACTCCCTGTAAATAAATATCCGCGAAATTCGCCCGCACTGAAATAACACGGTTTGGCGTGTTGGATAATAAATAACTTATTAGACATTTTGTTGTGTAGTATGGCTGAGTATTTTTACTCGTTATTTGTATTTTGACTCGCCCTACGGGCTCGTCAAAATACGGCACAACTCATAAAAATACTCAGCCATACTACACAACAAAACGTCTAATAAGATATATTTAATCGTCGTTCTTGAAGAAGAGAGGTACATACAAGACCAGAACTTCAAGCGAGAAAGTTCTTAGATTAAAAAGATCCAGTATTATATTTAAGAAATGGGAGAAAAATACCCCGAAAGTGAAATTTAACTTTTGATCATTTTGTTTTATCATGACAGGTAATTTCTAAAATTCAATAATCTATTCTAAAAGGATCAAAAAAGGTGGATACACATGGAAAAAGGATGTAAGTTTTGATACAGATTACAAGCAAGCATTTTCTGAAGCATACAGTTATTTTCTTTCTGAAAAACGAAAACAGAAGTAAAAGAAACAATTAGAGAAAATAACAAAAAGCAAAGACGATATCAAAAACCAAAACGTAAACAACACGAAAACAAACAAAAACAAAACAAGCAAACAAATATACACAGCAAGACAAAGCAAAGACCCAAAGAAAACAGCCAAAAAAGAAGCAAAAAACAGGCAAATAAACCAAACACTCTAATTTGGACTGATGTATCTTAATGAGACATACTTCCTTTCTTGACGATTTTCTTTTTATACCTAGTGTACATGACAATTAATCTGATGTCCGCCAGTATACTCTTATCGCTGACATGCATGTGGATCTACATTATCGTCTTTTACAAACAATTCAGGAAACAAGTTTTTTAAAAAATGCTTGACCTCAATGTTACTTTTGATATCAAAGCTCTTGATTTAGCGGCACAACTCGACCTCAGTTTGACGAATTGCCATAGATGCTCCGTACGTAAACAAGAAATGACTAAAGTTAATCAGTCGGACACAAGAGATATCATATTTTTTTGGTCTTATTGTATGCGTCTCACTATTTTCTTGAACATATAGTTGTATCTTGCACGACGATTGTGGGTTTTGCGACATTACCTCTTCACATAGGAATGATCATCATTGGTAAGTTAGCATAACATAATTTACATAAGTTGCATTAGGCTCTGCGCTGGAGTGAGGGTCCATCGAGAATGAGTCTCTTTTTCCAACTTATCTGTCAATAAGTATTAGATCTATCAGTGTGTCATCTAGGTCTTTAAAATAAGCTTCACACTACATATTTGGAACCGATGAATCTCAGCACTAAGGTTGCTACCAGAGAGGTGTACCATTTTACGATTGATAGTATACCAAAGTGTTACCTTTTCCGTGAGACATGCCGCATGAAAACGAAAGGAGCTCGAAAACCAAACCCCAATTCCCTTTCCTTCATTCCAACCTTGAATCGCCTCAGCGACGGGGGCATATAATATGATAAGGTCTGACAGGATACTTCCTATTTATCCAATGAATTACCTGTTTGCAGGTGTTAAATACAAGGACGAATGCCCCGTAGAAATTATGATCCCGATCTATTTAATCGTGGCTGGAGCTGCTGGTATTTTAAGCAGCTTGTATTCCTGTGGAATGTTGTTTCGAAAAGAAAGTGATGAAGTAAGCTCACTCTGCCTGCTGAAACGGCTGCATACTGTTATGCAATTGCTTCTCCTTGCCTGGTTCGCTTGTGGAAACGTCTGGATTTATAATAGTTATCAACCAAACTATACTGACCCTACGAGTCCCAAGTATTGCCACGAGAAACTTTACCTGTTTGCATTTTGGGCCACTTTTTCCCATTATTTCATTTCTTTTATCGTTATGATCTGCGGTTGTTGCATTTTTGGTATTGGTTGCATATTCTATATTTTCAAGTGGTCAAGAAAAGATTATGATATGCCTCGGATATTTTTGCCAAAAAGCTAATTCCTGAACGCTTCAGGTCAATCGCAGGTGATAATTATTAATTATTTATTAATTATTATAATTATTCTTTACTGGAGTATTTGCAGTGCTTTTATGATAAAATATGACGTAAGTTAACGCTAATTTCAAAACGAGGATGTAAGTGCGTACAAGACTGAAGGTGGTCACTAAACTAGTTCAGTATTTGGGTTACTTTGGGTGACCAGCTACTGTATGTATTTTTAATTCATGCATTGTTTGATAAGTTTAATTACTTAACAATGAAAATAAATTTGCTAGTTGTTGGTGTTTTGAAGAGGTCTTATATGGATGACCATTGGTGAGCTATTATATACCTAGACTTTCATTAAACATAACGAGTACTGTGATTGGTTGACTCTTAGTCATCTGCCCCTAATCAAATTCAGACGTATCCCGACCGGGATACCTTTGCACAGTTGTTGCTTGCGTGCCGAATTCAAAGATGATGTTTAGGATTCGAGGGCCGGGAAAACAAAACTATCTGTTTTCCTCGGGACCATACACCTATGTGGAAGTTGATTGAAATGCAGCCGTGATGTTGATAAATCCTTCTGTGTCTCTATTTCCCATCAGAATGGACATTTTTGGACTCTGTGGATATGTTGTAGGTCAATTTTATCCTTGGTCCAAATTTTATTTTCCTTTGTTTCAAACTCATCATCATATATTAACATGACCGAGAACAAAGGAAAATAAAATTTGAACCAAGTATAAAATTGAACTACAACAGATACATTTCATAAATACAAGTGGGTTAAGCTCAGTTAGCAAGCTCAGTGCAATACTTATTAAAAAAAAAAATGAAAATTTATCCCAATTAGTATGGTATGACACATCAGCTTATAGGACGAGTCTTATATCGGTTGAACCCTGACAAGAATGAGGATGAACGAATAAAAGGAGACAGGCTTTTATTAGTTTGTCAGTAAACTCATGCGCAAACTCATACAGAACCTGTATAATTCCAGTTCCCCTCCCCTTTGTCATCATTCATCTTTAAACGATTGATTGGTTGCGCGGAAAAAGGGGTGGTCAAGATTGTCAGCTGTCGTTTCACTGGACATGCAGATTATAAAGTTTAAGTAACGCTCAGACATATCATTTGAACCGCATTGCTCGGAAACATCGTCGATATAGAACTTTGACAACGAAATTCAAGTGGTATCACAAACAGGTAAGAAAGTTAAGACTCGTATATTCGAACAGCAGTTAGCATGGCTAATCTAAGTGTACTTACAAAAAAATCGCACTGATTTATACAAAGAAAAAAAACGCGCACAGAACTGAAAATAGGATAATTCTTGGATATACAGGAACGATAACTTTTTTTGATTCAAACAATGAAATGCACGGTTATTAACTGTACTTAAAAGTACCAGTTACTCAACAGCAGTTTACATATTCTTAGAAATCCAACTATAGTCACAGATACTGTGAATCATGTTGCTAGCAACTTCTCGTTCTGTTGATACCTATCAAAAGCTGATGTGCGCTCATAGAAATTTTAACGAAACAGTTACTTTATTAAGGAGTATGTTCATAGTCCGAACAAAATTGAATGCTTTTCAAGAATCGCTATTGTGTGGAAAGAAGGAAAGAGGGAAAAACAATAAAATACCATCACTTTTTGGTTCTTGTCATAAATTTATAGACTTGAATCATAACTCAGTTTATATTATTGATATTGCACTCTGTCGCAGGGAGAATTGTATCAAGTCATTAAGTAAAGTTGACCATTCAACTTAAATATAAATGCATTGTTTGTGGAAGTAAAACCACTACTACTTCCATTTATGTCATTGATATTGCACTCTGTCGCAGGCAGAATGGTATCGAGCCATTAAGCAAATTTGACCACTCAACTCAAATATAATGCATTGTTTGTGGAAGTAAAACCACCGCTACTTCCCTTTATATCACTGAAAAATAAAATAACATTACTTTTAATTTCGTGTAATCAATTCATAGATTTGAATCATAACTCAGCAGTCTTCAAACTCAAAACTCACTGGAATTTTTACTGACTTTCAGTCATTTCCAACTCCTGCTGAAAATATTTC